GTATTTCTACCGTCCTCATCTCCCACATCCCTATTGTATTGGTGAACCATTCACAATGGCGCTAACACGCCTCATTCACATATGTTTCATTCACACACGCAATATTCATGCTTACACATGGCACATAGCCCACATAACACTCAAATAGACGGCACTAGGCCCACATTCATTTCACATTACACGGCACATAGCCCACATTTATTCACAATATTATTAATTTACCAATCTATGACATTCTATCACACACAATCACCCTCACGGGGTCCAATTATTCTATCACACATCACATTGTATATCAATTTTCATCAAACACACAATTTCTATCTTCTATCTTAGCCACATTGCATTAATCATCAAAACACACAAGAATTACAATACATTGAGATAGGGTAGAGTCCCCTCTTACCTTGAATTAAAGACCCACATGCTAAATCCACCAAGAAGTGCTCCCCCTCACGGATTTCATCCTAAACACATGGAGAAACTCCATGAGAACCTATGGAAACCACGAAAACAGAGACAGGGGATGAAAAATCGAAGCCCTAACCATTAAAACTTACCTCTAAGCGTTTCTCACACGGATTCAACCTTTAATCAAGCTTCCGAATGGCTTTGGAGGCAATTTAATCGGTAGAAAAGGGTTTGAGAATGAGAGGATCGAAGGGAATTCGAAGGGAGAGGGAGAAACAACCCTCCCCGAACCCTAACTTTCTTTAAATCCTTTCTTGGTCGTGACACTCTCGCTACAATGAGATATTCTTACTGCAGCGAGGGGACCTCGCTGCAGCGACACGCTCTCACGCTGCAACAAAAATATCAAACGAAACTGTACCCTAGTTAATGTAGAATCTCGCTACAGCGAGACCCTCTCGCTACAGGGAGACTACACCTAGAAATGTACCCCAAACTGTCGCTCTGCCGCTACAACGAAACGTCTCTTGCTACAACGAGAAAGCGACAGTTCTGGTCCTTCCTCCCAGGGCCCCTCTCGCTGCACCGAGAACAACCCATAATTACTCCTTGCACTTAGGCACTTAGCCTATTTCAACCCTATCCAGTCATGCATACACATAATACACACATTCATATACTTAATACACATAAACATCATTATCAAATAAATCAATATAATAATAATAATAATAATAATAATAATAATAATAATAATAAATATTATCAAAATTCAGGGCTTGTCGGTATCACCACCACTCCCTCTTTCTCAAGGTATTTTTACCATCCTTATCTTCCACACCTTCAGTGTATCGTTAAACCATTCACAACACATTACACAGGCGTTAATCACGCCCCATTCACACACATTGCAATATTCATTCTCAGTATACGGCATAAAGCCCACAGTCATGCATAATACACGACACTAGGCCCTTATTCGTTTTACAGTACATGGCACAAAGCCTACATTTATTCATATTACACAGCTCTTGGGCCAATACTTATTTACAATATTCATCCAAATATACGACACAAGTGCTCATACCCATTCACAATACTTGGCATATATGGTCTCATTCTATTACACGACATTTATTATATAATCCACATTAATCAGTTTCGAGTAAACACACATTCTTTCATCCATGCACATAATATTCACATCTCACGGCACATGGCCCACATCATATTTCACAACCATTCCCATTAACACATATTTCCTACCTTCTAACTCCGCCACAACACAATATTCAATGAAACAAACGGTTAATCACACATATTGAGATAGGGTAAAGTCCCATTTACCTTGGATTGAAGACCCACACTCAAATTCAACCACGGAAGTGCTCTCTACATGAATTTTGGCCTAAATGCATGGAAGAACTCCATGAGAATCCAAGGAAATCGAGAAACCGAGAAAAGGGATGACAAACGGAAACCCCAACCATTAAAATTCACCTCCAAGCGTTCCTCACACGGATTCAATCTTCAATTTAGCTTTTGAACGACTTTGGAAGCAATTTAATCGGTGGTATAGGGTTTTGGGTCAAGAGAATTGGAGAAATTTTGAAGGAAAAGTGAGAAATAATCTTTCTCGAACCCTAACCCCCTTTAAATTGTCTTCTGGTCACGACACTTTGGCTGCAGCGAGAAAGGACCTCGCTGCAGCAACTCATTTCCTTGCTACAGCGAAAAACTTAGACAAAACTGCACTCTGGTTTGTGTAGAATCTCGTTACAGCGAGACTGCACCCAGAAATGCAGCCTAAACTATGACTTTGTTGCTACAGCGAGAGACCTCTCGCTACAGTGACAGAGCGGCAATTTCATCCTTCTCTCTCAGTAACCTCTTGCTACAGCGAGAATCCTCTAACTACAACGAGAAAGACACAGTTTCATGCCTCACGCCCAGGGGCCTCTCGCTACAGCGAAAATGTCCTGCAGCAGCATCCACACTTAGCCTGTTTTTAGCCCAATCAATCCAATCTAATTATATAGACACACATACACATGCATCCATATACATTATACCTACAAACATAATCATTACGCATTCAAATGCAAATTACATCTTTCACATTTAAACGTACATATAAACACATATACATATATCAATAATAATTAATATAACAAAATTTGGGGCGTTACAACACCTACATTGAAAAAATAATAAAAAAATCATTTAAGTTGATTTAGTCATATGTAAATAAAATCACTAGAGGCACAGTGAAGAGATAGACATGACTTTTAGTTTGGTAAAAAAAAAGGTACAAGGAAGATCTAGAAGAATCTTAGAAAATAATATTAAAAGAGATCTATTGATAAATAATATATTTGTGTTTCTTTACCTATTTTTTTTAGTCTTTTTCTTATGGATTATTATCATATTATGTTCTTGTGTAATTACATAAAAGTGTATTGCCTAAAGAGTATTGGTTTACAGTGACAAGACTCTACAACCTACAAACAATCTCATCTCTTTTTCCTCACCAAAACCAAAGTTGAGTTGATTAAACTTACATCATTAGTGTGTGTGTTCTCTCCCATTTTTTCACTTGCAACTTGTTATACTATATAATAGTTGTTTAATTTTAAACAACTCTTGTTGCTTATACTCTTGGCATAAGGACTGTTTGTTTAATTTTATTCTTGACATAAGGACTATTTTGGCCCAATGAATTAAAATTTTAGGTATTATCTGATAGGAAAAATTATTATATTGGTCCTTTAATTCTTAATTTTATTTTAATTTGTTTTTAAAATTTTTCTTTCTCATTTTGGTCTTTTAATTTACAGAAGTGTTTCAAACAGGTTATTCTTTGTAAACAATGCTTATTTCGTTAAAAAAAAAATATTTATCTTCTTTTTTGTAAACTCTTACAAAAACGTAATATTTTTTTGACAAATTTGTTGACTACCACATTTTCTTTTTTTTTCTTCCTCTTACCCCCTTTCACCCTTCCATGACACATTTTTTTACATGTTCAAACTCTGACAAAATCTTGTTATTTTTATTTTTTCTTTTCTTTCTCTTTTGACATCTTATCCACACCTCCACAACTTATTTTCCCTGTCCCTTTTAAATCTAGATAAAAAATTTTTTTCTTTCTCTTTCTTTTACTTTTTATCCATGTGTTCACGACCTATTTCCTCCTTTGAACTCTTACAAAAATATTCTCTTTTCTTTTTCTTCTTCTTACTTCCTTTTTCTTTGTCCCTTATTCACTCTCCTACAACCAATTATCCCCTTTTGATTTTCAACACAAATTTTCTCTTTTCTATTAGATTTTTTAGTTAGATCAACCTTACTTTGTGTCTTCTTCTACAATCTTAAGACTCAACTGAAAAAAATACTAAAAGAAAGGAAAAAGGTAAGATTTTTTTTTAGAGTTCCAAAATGGTAGGAGACATGGATGAAGTATGAGAAGAAAGAAAAAGAGAAAGAGAAAATAGAAATTGTAGAGTTCAAAGGATGAGAAAAATAGGTTGAAGGTGTGACGAAATGTAATAAGAGAAAGAAAAAGAAGAAGACAAAAAATAAGAAAAAGAGGCAAGTAAAAATTTTACAAGAATATATTGTGTTTTTAAGAGAGTTAAGAGACCAAAATAAGAACAGAAAAAGAAAAGAACTCAACTTAAAAAAAATGAAAAAAGACTTATTTAAAATACTTTTATAAGTTATGGTATTAAAGTGAAATAAAAATAGTTAAAGGACCAACCAAAATAAAATAAAAAATTAAGAACTAATCTACTAATTTTATCTATTTAATATTTTTTTTTAATTTTAGAGACTAACTTTTTTTTCCAATCTTATAAGGACTAAAATAACTAGAAAATATTCAAAATTTTCCTATCAATTATCATCTCATGCTAAGATTTTTTAAGATCATTGAACCCTTTACCTCAATCTGTTCTAATATAGGTGATGACGAAGAAAGAGGAAGACTTTCAAAGAATTAGAACAGAGAAAATTAAAATGAAGTATACTAAAGAGCGCATTTTAAAAAACCATGTTGCTAATATTCCACTTTAAATAATCTACTTAGAAGTTAGAACCTATTTGAACAAGAGTACTGCTATTTAGTACGGAAAATAAGGTGTGCATTTTTTTTAATAAAAAGAACATGTTGCTAATATTCCACTTTAAACAATTTACTTAGAAGCCATTTGAATAAGAGTACTGCTATTTAGTCCGAAAAATAAAGGGCACAAATGACATAAATCAGTCTTTTAAAGTTTTATTGACTGAACATTAAATAATTAAAATTTAAAAATGATATTTACTTGAGAGAAGTCATATGATCGAAGTTGAAAACAATTTTTTTCTTTACTTACGTACTCAAAATAATTGTACTATTAAGCATGTGTAATGGAATTTTTCCACTGAAAATTAATCGTAGCTATTTAACCACAAGTCCATTGTATTAAGATGCGTGAAACCACCTTCCAAGTATTCAAACAAAGAGATCTTATAACAAATTCACTGAATCCCGTTCATTTTTCTTCTTTTTACTTTTGGGACTGTGACTTGTAACAAGTTTTTTTATAAAATAACGTTAGAATTATATATATAAAAAAAGGTGTAATCGAATGGAAATCAAGGATACTCTGCTTCTCCATTTGCAACATGAACGATATATTGGAACTGTATATATACACAAGTCTGAGTAGAGTGAAAAATCAGGGCATCAACAATTTCTTCAATTGATTCCGTCACAGAAGAAGAGAAACAAAAGAAACCTCGTATAGACAAACAAGTTGTAAGAAGTAGAAAGTGCATGCGAAGTTCACATAGAGCTCCGGTTACATAGGATGTAACCAGAGATGAGCGAGCTCATTGCAAAGGCAATAAAAGCGATGAAGGACATTCCAATTGAAGCAGTTGCCATTTCTGTGAACTCATCTTTCCCCCAATTCGATTGCCAATCGTCAACCCGCGTGGCTGCACATGATGATGCTGATATCAGAAGATATGCCAGAACCTGATCATCAATTTGTCGCACAAATGTTACTTAGTCTTTCCCACAACAACCAGAGAATAAAACATTCAGTAAAGCATTGGAAGTTGGGGAGATAAAAATGGGCCTCAGTATCACCCAGCTAAATGAATACAAATCTAAGATTTCTCTTCTTCATCATCATCATCATTATTATTCATCAGTATTTAACTAGGTTAAATTACTCCCTAAAAATGCAGCTTCAGTCATATTAATTCCTGAATTATAAAATTAAATTTTTTAATGTGTCAAAGTTACACATATTAAATGTCATATTAGCCAAATGAATCCATGAGATTGAAAATGTGAGAAGAAATTTCATAGAGAAAATGCATATTGAGTGAGCTTAAGCGTAGTTTGGTATGACTTGCCTGATCGAAGAAGAAATCAAAGTGATAGCGAAGGTGGTGACTGATTAAGTGTTTCCCAGTGACTAATTGACAAGCCAGATCACATGCTTGTAACGCCGAATAAGCAAATCCGATAACATTCACAGATAAACAATACCTGCCACGTCAATAACCTTTACCATCACCGTTCATAATATCACCTAATTAGGAATTCCATTTAAGTTGCACATTCTGGAACCATCCATAAACTAGGTTATAAATTTAAGAACATCAATAAATACTTTTTTTTTTTTTTTACAAATATTATGTCAAAAGATAAGGCAAAAATTTATATAATAGCATAATTTTCTAATTTATTTGTCAAGAAAAATTATACTAATCAAGGAATCTAATTATTGGTAAATTTTCTAAAAAAAGTATTAGCAGCGCACTCTTTCAATTATATTTATAATTATTCATATATTTATTATGCTTAACATTTTTATACAAATAAAAAGATATTAATAAAATATGATAGTTAATATTATTTTAAAATTTTATATCAACAAAAAATAAAGTAAATTTTATTTTTACTTAAAAATTAAATAAAAATAGATATAATATATTAATAACCATTTTTAATATTTTTATTAAAAGTTATAAACTTTTAATATTTAATAACATTAAACATTATAATTTTTAATAATTTTTTTAACCAAAACCTAAACTAGTTTTTAAAAAAATTAAGGAAATTGATAATACCTATATTCTCTATAGCGATCAAAGGAGTCGCCACTCCAACCTTGCGTTTTATCTGCAGCCATAACTGAAAACGAAATCAGACACACCGCCACCTCGCTCAGCCGGAACCCTAACGCCGCCTTACTCACCACCTCCTCCGTCTTCCACCCCAGTGCCGCCGACCTAGATCTCCGTTCACCTCCTCCGCTTGCCGCTCCCAACTGCACCGCCGGCCGCTGAGGCTCCTCCGCTGCTGATCCGGTGTACATCATCACCGCCGAAGGCGCTTTTTCCGGCGGCTTCTGGCGCTCTGCGCGTTTATTGGGAGAGACCTGCTTTCGCATATCGAGCTTCACGATAGCCATAGGGTTTTCCACCAGTTTTCCCGGCGAGTTTTCCGTCGACTGGTATTCCGGTGACTCCAGCGGGTCAGTTCCGTCCCATCGCGCTGGAGAGTGGAAGGGGAGAGGCGAGTCGAACTGAGTCGAGGAGTCGGAGTTCTTCGACAGCGATTTTTTCATGGTGGCAGCGTCCTGGTGAGTTGTGATTCTGCGTTTTCCGTTTGCATTCATTTTTGTCTTTCGTGGATTTTAAAAGGATGATGAGGGAAAGAAGAGAAAAATAAAGGGAAAGACAAATGGAAAAGGAAAAAGATTGTTTGGGTGGTCGGAAAGGGAAAGAAAGTGAAAAAGAAAAAGAAAAAGAAGAACAATGGGCTTTAGTTTTGTTAGTGTAAGACCATGCCACGTGGATTTCTTCTCCAGTTCCACTCCTCCTTAGTGCTCTACAGACAAAGGGCCAAAGAGAAAAGTTATAACCAATAATTAATTAACCAACCTAATGTTAATATAATTTATAATCGGATTTTTTGCATGCTTTAATATAATTTATATAATTTCTATTGAAATTTTTTTATTTTAAAATTATTTTTCAAAAAATGACTATGGACAATTTTTGAAATTTTATTTTCTGTTGTTCCATTTTGAATACAAGATGAACCCTTCAAAGTAACTTTGACACAATGCAGCATACAAGACGACGGGGTTGCTTTTTTGGATTCCACCACCAAAACAACATCCCTCAAAACAGTCAGAAAGCGGAGGGCACGTTTTTTTTTTTAAATATTAAAATAAAATAAGTTATTAAGAAAAGCATTTAAATCAAACAAATAAGATCTTTTAAATCAATTTTAATAATTATTTTTTAACAAATCTAAATGCAGAAGAATTTTTTTTTCTTATCATTTTCTTCCTTTTTATTTTAACTTATCCAAATATTAAATATTATCTACTTTATTTTTTCTCCTTTTTTTTTTCTATTTCACCTAGTATTCAAACATACATAAATAAAAAATATTTAAAAATAGTCCTAAAGTTAACGTCTGTTGTAAAACCATTATCTCTTATTTACATTTTTTTTAAATTTTTTTTTGACCCATATACATAATATATATATTTCATTGTAGTAATACACGATGCAATTTTTATTTTAGTCCTTAAACTAAAAAAAAATAAAATCAATTATAGGATAAAAAAAATATTTTATTAGGAAGTCAAAATTATATATATATATATATATATATATATATATATAGAGAGAGAGAGAGAGAGAGAGAGAGAGAGAGAGAGAAACGATAAAAAAAAATCACCAATAAACACAAGTTGATATTTATTAAAGATGACTTAATAATTTTAAACAATATCATTGAACTTATAGAGACTATTATGAGAAGATGATGTTTGATATTTAAATAAAAAATATTTTGTCTTCATTCATTATGAAATATTATATATGCGAACTAATTTTTAATTTTTTTATTTGAAAAAGTAGTGATAGCCTCTCTTTTTTTCTTAATTTTATTGGTTAAAATTTATAATTAAATTTGTTCAAATTTCCAAGTATAACTATGGTGATTTACATTATTAAAAAAAACTATGGTAATTTACTTATTTAATGAACAAAACTTAAATACAGTCATTCAATTGTTGGTCTCAATTAAAATTTTACTTCAATGACCAACATAATAAAAGTTAATGTCGAATGATGATCCTAAATAAATATCTAATTTAATCAAAGAAAAACATCAAAAGTATTAAGATACAACTGGTAAGTTTTACACTTAAACAATCTTTTAAATAATCTTTAAAATGTATCAAGAGTATATTACAAAATATTTTTTACTAAACTTTTAAATAACAACTTTCCATAATAATTTTCATAAATACATTAATCTACAATTATATTATTTAAACTTAGTAAATTATCTTTTGTAACTTGCCATGAATCAATGTAACCTCTGTCAACTTGTTATTTTTTTTTTTTTGGGCATCTTTATATTAACACTTTTTTTTTTCATATTAGTTCCTATGCATAATACATTCTTTTTTATTTTGATTCTTGTAGTTTAATTTTTTTACATAAGGACTAAAATGAAAAAGTGTACTATGATGACAAAATATGTTGTGTATAAAAATTTAAGTAAATAGTAAAGCAAGATCAAATATGATCAATAATGATTGATCTTTGTGTTTCCAAACAATCATGGCCGGAAGGACCTTAGTAGTAGATGAAGAAGAGAAAGAACAGTGACTTTTTTTAGAAAAAAAATAACAACCAATTAGTTTATGTAAAACTAATAGAAATGGTAAGAGTGAAACTAAAAAACAAAAGACGATGGTTAAGTCAAGTATTTTCACTTGTATCTCCATCATTCTTCGCTTAATAGAATTGCATCGTGTTTGTTTCTATCCCTCGTGCTATTTTCAAATTGATACAACATTGAGATGATGTGAAATTATATTTATTCAAGATGCAATTCTTTACCAGCTTTTAAAATTATAATTACTAATCAATTTATTCCTTATATTACAACAATTTTTTTAAAATGTGTAACATTGTACATAAGAAGTTATATATAATATTTTTTTATTAAAAATTGTAGTATTTAGTAGTATCAATGAGTTATATTAATTTATGTAATTTTCAATAAAAATTTACCATATAAAACTTCTTATATACAATATTGCTCATGTTCAAAAAAATTATATTATAAAAAGAAATAATCCAACTTTCGTAATTATCAATCAATTTGGTTTTAAAATTGATATTACCGGTGAACATAATCTCTACTATTATTAAATAATCAATTCTACCGTTAAATATGATAACTATCATTAATTTAGTTCCTAAATTTGACAGTAATTGGTTGGTTTAGTTCTTAACGGTAATGACCAAATAGAATGATATAAATTGAAGTTAGGGACCATATTAACTGATAGACCCCAAAATCAATAACTAGAATTATTATAATTGTCAAATTTAGGGATTAATTGACAAATTCATAACATTCAAGCCCAAAATGATTGGAGACTTTTTTTAAGAAAATGTTAACTAGGCTCTTAACTAGTGAATTAAAATATCTTTTTATTAAAAAAAAAAAAAAAAGGTAATAATACATATATTATTGTGATTCTTAATACATTTCAATATAATATTTAATAAAAATTGTTGCTTATGAATTCCTTAACCTGAACCTTAAAACACTGATTATCGAGACATTTCTCTTTATAATTTTAAAAACTACAATGATAATTTATAGCATCCTAAGGATTATTAATTTAATAGTTTGCTCCAATTATTTTTCACAGATGTTACATAAAATTAGATAAATCAATACTAATGCCATAATTATATGACCAAAACAAACTACACACCTACGGTCGTATACAAAATGCTTGTGACCATAAAGTTTAGTAGTCTTGGGATGCTCATTTTAAGTAGTGTCAATGCCTTAGAGATATATGCTGAAAATTGTATATATCAAAACCTTAAGCATTAAGGTAGAGGATATACAAATAAATTTATGTACCTAACACATTCTTTCACTTACTAATTTTTGTTAACTTATTATTCTTGTACCAAACATGCAGTTAAAATGTGATGATGTGTTTACCAAACCATCCTATATTATAAGTCAAGTTATTTCTAAAATAAAAATGAGTTACAAGAATCCAATTCTTAACTAGGTAAGTCTTGATTTTGTAACGGGATAAAATTATTCTAAAATAAACATGTCTGTATTAACTATCTGGTTATGTCTTATATAATGTCACTGGATAAAATTTTCTAAAATAAACTTCTGTGTAAAGTGTACAAGTACGAAAATATTCACTCAAGATTTCACTTAAAATAAGTCAATCTTTTGCTCAAATTTAAACATGGGCATTCTTTACAAGCTCAAATTTAACTTGCTTAAAATGAACAAATATGTAAAATAAAAAATAAAGATTAATTCAACAAAAAATAATTATTTATACACATTTAAGCTCATTTGGTGAATATGATAAAATGATAGGATATCCTATCATATCTTATTCTTATTCCTAGTGTTTGTTGATTAATAAGATATAATAGGTTATTCTTCAAAGTTATTCGTTCAAATTATTATCCTAAAAGAGTGATGAGTTAAAAAATATCTATATAGCATAATTTTTTTTATTACATTTTTACTTATACTTTATACTTTTTTAAATATTTTATAACAAATAATTTTATCATTTAAAAAGAATAACATAATATCATCTGTTTTACTATCTTATCATGTTCACTAAACTGATACACATGTATACAAGTAATACAACAAATGTACATGAATGATTTTATATGACATGCCTAAAAATACTTTTGTTTTCTTATTGCTCTATTGTCTGTCATCTCGGCTATGGTGAATAATCGAAGGAAATTCAAGTGGGCCCAACTAAAATCTAAACAAGCTTTTCCCATGGAGAAAAGTTATCTGATTTCTTTTGGGAGTAGCTTTAGTGTAATAATAAAGACACGAATTCCGTCATACTTTAGCCAAGCGTCTGCTGGAAAGGTTCATCCTGCGCGTTTTAATGCAATTTATTGATATAAAAACATCTATAGAAAGCAACCCACCCAGCTGAATAATGGAGCACTTGCTTTCTCACAAGACACCTTTTTTGTCGCCACACGTCACCAAAAGCACTCTAGGATTATACAGGAATCTACCACGAGGCACCTTTTGAGCTGCCTCCTCCTTGACCATAATTGTCTTGATGGGGGCCACAAGAAGGATGAAGCGTATAACTATTATTTCCTTTTTGCCAAGAGGAAACCCATCATTATCAAGAGGAAATAATGAAACCAAATCTGTGGATAAATTACCACACGTTTGAAGTTCTTTATTGTCAAATTTAATTATATAGGCTTCCTTACATACAGGCAGACTGAGCGCGACTTCCACACCAGAGAAGTCCAAACAAGAAAAGAGGCACACATAGGCCTGAAGTATAATGCACATAACGGATTCCTTAATGGTTCTTTCGGAGTTCCTAACACTATTTTCACGGTCAGCAAAATTTATATACACAATATGATAACTAAGAAATTGGTAACAGAAACTACGAAAAATTGAACTCATGAAAGGATTGAAGGGCTAGAAAATAGCAAGTGCCTGCATGTTGGGTAAAACTACTCTCAATACAAAACGTAACACAGTACTGTAACTAGTGTCAGAATCCTTCATGTTTCACCCCGTATCAGAGCAACAATAAATTTAGATAGGATTAGGGTTTTGTCGCTTACTCAGGAAGTTTCAACCGGTTGAACAACACAAGAAAACTTTGCTCAGGCACAACATAAAGGAAACCAAGATCTGCACCTTTCATGTATGGTCCCATGCCCTAAATATGACAACAGCAAACACAAAAAATGTCAACAGAAATTCTACCAAACAAAGTCTGTTGATTGAGACGAAAATTCAGGCTTGCATATTGAAGAAAATGAAACAAATCTGACTGCAAATTTACCTTGCCATTAAGTTGAAGCAATTCTCCATCAACCCATTTTGGATTTCGAAAACCAAAGTCTGCTATTCTCCCCTGGCCCTTATAACTAGCAACCTGTTCGTAAATGAGTGCAGTATTTAAGATTAGTTGCTTTCCAGAACAATCCAAAATGACCAAAATGACAACTCAAGAATAAAAATCAGGCAAAGTAGAAAAGATACAAACCAATTAAAGTATATGGGTCTCAAAATACATATAAAAGTATTAGAAATCAACCACAGAAATTGTAGCAAAACTTTTATGCATACTAAGGGTATTCTTCAGCTGACAATTGAAAACTAATTTTTCAAGGAGTAAAGATTACCAAAGTGCATATGGTCTATTCAAACAAAACCTTTACTGCCATCATTATCTTTTTGTTTTGGTATACTGTGAATGGAGAATCAGTTAAAATTGACTGCCAGTAATGTAACTTTCTTTAAAACTTATAATATGGAGAAAGAATTCAATTCTTACACTTCATGCTCATGTTTATGAATACTGAAGAAGTTAGGAGATTCGAGTAATTAACAGTAATACAATATAATAGTGGCACAAAATAGGACTTGAAAGGGCAGAAAGTTAAGTGAGACAGCAGGTATGAGGTCACAACATAAAGGAATATTAGGGAACAGGTCCAGAATGATGGTTAGAAGTGAAATTTGAAAAAGCATGAGAACGCACACTGACACACACAAACCCAATTATGCAGCATTTACCACTCCTAATTCATCAGGATACATCCCACGGTTGCTGTTGCGATTGCCTCTACCAATTTTGGCACGGAATGTCACCTACGCAAAAAAAAAAAAAATTAAAATTTTACTTTCTTTTCATGCTCAAACATAAACTTGATATAAGTTTACAATATGATTGCAAAGATTCAAGAGATTAAAGATGTATAAACCTGGCCAGCAGGAACATTAAGATCCCCAGTCAATTTCACAGCCTCTACATATTCAAAGAATTCCATGTCTGAAGTGTGGTTTTCAGTGTCCATTTCATTCCAATGTCCAAATTTTCGTCTCAGTTGCACTATTTCAATGCCATAAGGGCCAAATGCACCAACATAGAGTCCTACATTTTAACCAGAAGAGTCCGCTTTCTTAGCTAATTCTTTGCCCAAATTCCAAAGAACATCATGGACACAAAAGATAAGCAACCTTACCATCGAAAGGATCAAAATCCCCTCTTGAACAGGTAATCCGGTTAAAATATGTATCCTCAGATAATCTACTTCTTTTCTGTGCTTGACTAATAGCAAGTTTGACAATTTCACGCATGCTTTTGGAAACCTAAGTTAAGTGAATAATCAGTCAGTTCACTGAAAAGAAAAACATGAATTTCAGGTTCGAGTTAAAATAAACTGTGCAAGGGATCAGACAGACACCACAATCCCATGTTTTCAGAGTAATTTAAGATAAATTTGCACAGGAACTGTCATCAAGATTATGTTACTGTCATAATGTTATCATTTACATTAGAATATAAAGTCAACTCTCAACTACATTCATTTTGACTAGATTACGATAATCAATTACTGATTATTATGTTGATGTTAGTTTTTGTCAGCTAGGATTAATCTCTATTTGATTCTAAATCAATCAATAAATTAAAGACTACCTAACACACAATTTCTCTCAATAATTCTCTCTTTCAATAGATACCACTTCCATCATTTTGGGGTAAGGAAAATCATTTTGAATGCAAGCATTTATCAATGATAACCAAGAGAGTAAAACTAGAACATTCTGAAACAAAATTTACAGAAAAATTTATGTAAAAATTATGCATTCATTATTAATTTACACTTTATTTGGAAAACTATATCTTCCCAAATGCAGTACGATTTGTTCAGTACTACACTTCTATCTGTAAATAATAGAGCAAAAAAAAAAAAAAAAGGAAAGAAGAGTAAATCAAGCTAAATCTCTCAAAGTTCACAAAAAAAACTTAGACAAGACTCCTCTAGTTTCATTTTATATGAAGATCTACTGTGTAATTGACTTTTCAGGGGATGTGAGTGGCAAAATAATAATAAATGCACAAATTTAACCAGAGGGATTTTGGGGAAGGTTATTGATGAGATAGAGGATCCAACATCCCTCAGCTGGCTAAGACCAGGCCCAAGGCCCTACAAGTGTGTTCTAGGTTGAAGGATGGAAAGGGTGACTTAGTTAGTGATGCAAGTTGCATGTTAGTTAGAGGAGAGAGAAAATGGATGATAGATCTAATGTATTTTATATTTTTTTTGGGGGGGGGGGGGGTTACATGAGGTGAAATTGTGTATGAGTTTTCCACCTTCTAGGTTAGGCTTGAAGCTTTGGAGTTTCATTCATATCCACATTAGCTCTTCCCTTTTTTGTACCTCTTATCAGTTTTTAAATCAATAGTACAGTCTAATTTTCATACAGGAATTGTCCTATTGGTTAGTGTAAATTGTCAAAAGAATTCTAGTCAGCATGATTTTCACTTAACATTATAATCATAACAGGAATTTATTAATTCTTATCTAGTATCAGCTAACAGAACTAAAGCAATATGAATATAACAATGATTATATATTACTTATCTTAATCTCACCTTAGAAGACACTTTGTCAGAACTCCAAAATGCCTTGGCAACATCGGGAGGCATAAGCTCTGAGACTCCTTGTGCTGCTAGAGCTGCCACTTTGATATTGGGAACCTTATCTTCTCTCATATCATAATCTAGATTTCTCTTAGGAATATGAAAGAGAAAAGAATCCTTTTCCATATCCTTTATTTCAGCTGGAAGACGTATAAATTCATCCTTGACAGGAGTATCTTCATTGTTGTGTACAACTCCACCAATAAAAAGTTTCATATCCAAATCCTTTTCTTCTTCTGAGGAATCAGGATCTCCTTCTAGAGTGACCCCATCCGGTTCATCCAGATTATTAACTTCCTCATCAGAATTCTCGCTGGATTTTGTTTTATTACCATCTTCCTCCATCAATTGCTTAATAGAATCATTGTCCTCTGCCGCTTCCTCTTCAACATTAACATTCATAACTTTTACTTTCAATCCTGGAATTTTTTCTTTAAGAAAGTTTATGACACTTTTAATGCCCTCCTCAGTTGCTCCCTCAATGTTACTGCTTTTCTCATCATTTTTCTCAACCTTATCTTCCTGTTCCTGCACCTCAACTGAAGATGCACTCTCAATCTCTGGTTTGGATGGGCTTTTAGCAGGTATAGATGGAGGGTTACTCGTAGAATTTCCTTTGGCTCGTCGCAAATATACTACCTAATAATTGTTGACAAATATGACATCATAAGCATTACAGGCACACTACTGAAGCAAGATATTCACAATCAAGTAGAGATATCAACGACAGCAGACTCAGTAAAGAAATGCCACACCTGAAAATTATAAACTTAAGTGAAACCTCAAAATAATGTTCCCACTTTATAATTCATTTATGTCCAGTTTACTTATTAAACATTTGCATTAGTACCCCAAAATTAAGATTCTTCTGAAAAATATGTGGGTGTCCTTTTTTCAGATTGAAACAATTCAAAATCATCCATGAATCAACATTTGGACTAAGACTTTGTTTTCCTCAAGTGTATTTGTGGGTCACAAATGAACAAGCATCATTTTGTTAGAAAATTGGAATATTACCTGCATATGATATGTGTCGTCAGCATTTTTTACCACATAAATTTCAAATATTGGTGTTCCAGTAGATGCTGTGATCAACTGTCTGTATGAAGCAGAAATAAGCAGTGCAACCCAATAAACAGAGGGAAAAATAGAAACTGGAATAATCATACCTTGGACTGTAACTCTTGCCAACGAATCTACCCATCCCAGGACTTATATGTATGATTCTACCAAAGGGGTCATCTGAATCTTTTGAGTACCCTACCCACCAACCCACCTGCAAATAAAGGTAAAAAAAATAAAAAATTCATGGTCATTGGACAATAAGAGAATATGATTAACAAAACATGCCGAGGACACAAGTACCATAATCAATACTCACAAATCATAACCACCACTTTATTTTCCAGATGGGCTTATCTGTACCTTCCCAGATAACTCCATAAGTTTATTATCACAAACTTGTTTAATCTGTTTTGATGTTTCTTAATCTGGAGATCCTTTCCTATTATAATATATAACTTTTGTCAATCCTTTTCTTAGTTATAACTTAGAAATGTGTTGAATGATGACAGTTTCTAAATTTCTTCTAATTATATCTCTTCTTCACTCCTTCACGAAGACAAACTTCAAAACGTTCTCACATAAATCAACAAGTTAGACTGTCATTAGTGAGTGAAGAGGAAACTTTTGGAGGGTTTCCGCAGCTGCCTCCATATGACTCCCAATTTCTATTTTCCAAAACACACCTTTAATTCCTATTCTCTCCTGCACTCCAGAACTGAGTTATTGGTTGCAACTTACAAGTAGCGTTTGGGTTACTGATAAACACAGTGTGAGAAATAAATATTATTAATTGTTATTTCGTGCAGTGGATATTTTAGTTATATTCTCTAATGGATCAGGGCAAGTTTGGTGAGCCATGTTGAACTGCGTATTTTTTTGTTTTTCTCCCTTTTCTCATTGTGGGATTTTCCCAGCCAAATTTGTAAGGAGAACAGAAAAGAAAAGAAAGAAAGAAGCTAAATATTCAAATATTAAGGTAGTGTTTCGCCCAGCTTTTTTGGACTTCTCATCTCCATAAAAGCAGATGTTCCTTCAAAAGTTCTACCCTTCAAAATTTTTGGACTACTTTTAATTTTTAGAGCTTTTCTAAAATTTCTGTTTGACTCAACTTCTTGTTAAGTGGAAAATAACCCTAAAAAAATTAACCAAACGCTACCTAAATACAACGAAGCTGCATATATGATAATAAAAAACAGAAGGAACAACGGCTAGCACAAAGTAGCAACCAAGAAAGTTACCAGTCCACTTCCAGTGTATCTGCACAATCTTGAAGCATCATGGTATCGTTCATCATCTATGGCATTCTGTAACACAAAACAATCCACGACATCACCATAAACCAAACTATAAGTATAAAATTTGAAAAACCAACTAAGGAAATTTTTCGTTTTACAATTAGAAAGTCAATTCTCACACTTCTCAATAAAAAAAAACACACGTTTTCTATTAAAATTATATATTCAGATTGATTTATTTGGTATCTAAAATTATATTCAGTTGCACAATTAATTTCATAAAAATCATTTCTACTCACCTTTTACTCAAACACACACTAACTCAAGACAAAACTGGCTCTTACCTTCAACTGAGACATAATTTCAGCAACGCTATCTTTCGACGTTGCTTCCGCTATAGCTCTCTTCAACTTCGCCGCTTCTTGAAAATCTTCCTTCTCAATAGCATCTTCAAGTTGAAACTGCCCAAATCAATTTAAACACAAACCAACTCAGCATAGAGTAGCACTTTTTGAAATTTCAAAATTTGGCAAAAATGATATAAAATTGTTTATAATAGTTTTGAATAAGAAGAGAGGGTTTGATACCTTGAGAACAGAGGCGAAGCTCTCGGCTTGTTCAATTTCGGAGAAATGGCGGCACCAGCGATTCCAATCCCAGTTAAGAGAAGTGTGGTTAGAATTGGCGGTGCAGCGGGAACAGTGGTGGTTGCGATGGGTCCTTTTGGAGGAGATTGAGACATTGGGCTGCAGGGGCTGGGCCCAGCCCAAGAAGGAAGTGGGTGACTTCTTAGGGTGGAAATCGGAACATGAAGGGCTTCTGAGTTGGGGACTTGTGCTGGAGATGGAGATCGAGATGGCTTGGGATGCACCCGCCACCACCATGTTTGGTTCGGTTCGGTGTTTCTTTCTCAATGAGAGAGGGTGGACTTTCGAAGAAGATGGATACGGTACGATACGAGTTTCTGCGGCTTCTGGGTGGGGATAAGTTTTCTGTTGGCATGGACAGAAATTATTAATTTTAGACCATGTGGATTGCGGTATTCTTTTTTTAATATATATATATATACTGGTATAAGTTAAAAAAAATTTATGCTAAATTTAAATTTTTTATTTAATTTAAATTTAACAGCTAGTAAAGTAATAAATTATAATTTGTTAAATTTAAAATGTAATTTATGAAGACAAAAGTAAAATAATTAATTTTACACTTTAAAAAATTGTTACTAATTTAAAATAAAAAAATATTTTCTCAAGAAAAATTGTTAGTGGGAGTTTTGAAAAATAAAATCTCTATTATTATTATTTGAAATCTTTTTCTATAAGTTGACATTTATAATTTGTGCTAAATTGCACTTTAAGTTTTTTATTTCATTTTTTTTATTTTTTTATTTGAATTTTAACATTTTATTATTCATTTTTATTATTTTATAGTTTATGTACAAATATAGTAGTTTACTTTAATTGTGAGATTGTTGCAAACATGAGTGAAAGTGTGAGATTTTTGTATAAAAAGTCAATTTGTATGTATATTTTTTACAATATATTAGACAAGGCACTAAAATATTAGCTTTGTTAATATATTGAAGTGAATATTCCAAAAATAGTAGAGAGTATAATTTCATGTGTCTAGTATCTATTTTTGGAGTTTTTATGTACTAAAGAATTGCAATAAGTAACTATGATGATATTCAACAAATGTATCAAATACATTACGAACATCATGTCCTAACTCCTAGCATTGAGTTTTACATTATTTTTAAATAAATTACAGTTGATGCATATACATAAAGTGGCGATGAGGAGCTAAAAGCCTATGCAAGCATGTTCTTAATAGAGAGGTAAAATAAGAATAAAACAACACTAAAAGTGATGATGCTGACTTTGAAGAAGATTATGGAAGTAATGAGGAGATGAAGCCTATGCAAGCATAGTTCCTAAAAGAGTAGTAGAATAAGAATAGAACAACACCGAAAGTGATGATGCTGATTTTGAAGAAGATTATGGAAGCGTTGATGATAGTGATGATGAGGATGTAGATGATAAGGACTCTCATTTATCAATCTCAATGATTGGCCAACATTTGTTTGAGGAGCCATTATTCATGCATGCTTTAGATCTTACTACTGCGCAGGCACCTGAATTTTTAGAGTATACTAACTTAGGTATGTGATGTTTGAAATATTATAATTGTACTCATAAATTTGTGTTTAGTTTTTCAATTAATTTTTATTATTTTTGTATTTGATAGGTCATTATGAGGTACATGAAGAATTATATGTTGGAATGCAATTTAATGATAGAGAAACTATTATACAAATAATTAATCAATACAATATATCAAAAGGAGTGGACAATAAAGTGTTTGAGTCTAAACAAAATACATTTTATTGTAGATGTGTTAGCTATGACTTAGATTGCGACTCAGATTGCAGATGAATTGTTCAAGCTAGTTTGAGAAAGAACAAATATTTTAGGAAAATTAGAAAGTATAACGGGCTACAAGTTGTACTCAAGATATGATTTTGTAGGATCATAGAGAGTTGGATGTAGACACAATTGTAAAATGTATTAAACCAATGGTAGAATATGTCCCTTCTTTTAAGATAAAACTTGTGATTAGTGAAGTTTAGACTTGATATGGATACATGACAACATATTAGAAAACATGGATGACAAAGCAAAAGACAATTGAAAAGGTATTTGGTTAGTGGGAAGCTTTGCATGAAGCCCTACCACAATGGTCTGTAGTAATGTGTGACGTTATTTGCAGATCAATTGTTCAGTTGAATGTTGTTAAAGTTTATTGCAATAATGAGTTGATTCCTAATGTTCAAATATTACGTCATGTTTTTTAGAGTTTTGGTTCTTGTATTAGAGCATTCAGACACTTGCAAACCATTTGTGCAAGTTTATGGGAAACATTTATATAGGAAATACAAGGGAGCTTTATTGATAACAGTTGCACATGACGACAATCAAAATATATTACTAATTAGTTTTGCTATTATTGAGGGAGAAAATGCAGATGGTTGACATCTTTTCCTTAATAATTTACGCAAACACATTGTGATGAATGATGGCGTTGATATTATTTTGAATTGACACGAATCATTTATGTAGCAATAAGACAAAGCGATGGACAGTGGAAACCTTCAAAGGCATTTTACATATATTGTATTAGATATATTGCTGCCAATTTCTTACGAAGATTCAAGACACCTTATTTGCATAAACTTGTCATCCACATAAGTAATTGACATTTTTTCTCCTTTAAATTTAATGAATATGTATACATTTTATAGGTTGTGGTCATGATTATATGAAAGAGTTTGTGCTGTGCAAATTATTCAAGAACATAACATGAATTTAATATTCATTATGAGCAAATGCAATAACATGAAGAGACATATACAATTTGACTTAATGAAATTCCACAAGAAAAATGGATTCTTGCATATAGGTGGGCATTAATGGGGTCACATAACCTTGAATCTTATTGAGTGCATTAATTTAGTGTTAAAGGATGCTCACAATCTTTCAATAACGACACTAGTTAAAGCAACTTATTTTCAATTGACTGAGTTATTTACACATAAAGATAGTAAGGCATATGCACATAAAAATGTTGGCCATATTTCTTTGAAGTTGTAACAACTCAACTTCAATCAAATAAGCAGGCCTTCAAAAACCTTTGTGTCAGCATATTTGATAGATAGAACAAGACTTTTCTTGTTCAAGATGTATCCAACAATTAAGAATATAGAGTTTATCTAAGGCAAAGGTATTATGATTGTGGTGACATGCAAACCTATAGATATTCATGTCATCATGTCATTGTTGCTTGCTCTAGTCAAAACATTGATTGGCGTGGTTATGTTAATAATGTTTACAAGATCAATGAGTTGTGCAAAGTATACAAGGAGTTTGGCATCATTAATGAGAAAATCATATGCGTGGAGTAACTTACGAGATGTCACACTTTCACCACTGCAATCAATAGATCTCCTTCGACGTGATTCTTTACTTCTTAAACCACGACGATTATCTTTTCTATTCACAGACATTTGTGAAATTTATTGTTGAGATTCTTCATTCTATTGAAATAGCTCCCATTGGTTTATGTGAGGTGACCGATAAAACTCCTCATTCGGTTGAACTAAGGGTGATAGAATCCCCTATTAATGCTAGGGTAATGATGGGGACATAAGATCTTGCTCCATCGGAAATTGATGTTGTTTGGGTGGTGGTTGCTCCATTTGTAGGGGACAATCATAGCCAATTCATTGCATACAATATGTACCAACTTCAATACTCATTCGAAGGGTAATACTGGTCAATTGATATTCCTTATAATGTATGCTGATTTTGTCATTCCCACATTGTCACCCAATCATTATGTATCAGTCTCTAGTTCTTTGATTCTCTTAATTCACATAAATATTTGTTGTAGACTTCCTGAAGACTTATAGTGTGTGAGGAATAGGATGAGCAAATTCATAATGGCATATTACACGGTGTCGCAACCGGGCGATCGCAACGGTACGACGGATGACAAACTTGTTCCAAAATATGAGAGGAGTCGCCACCAAAGTTTATTTTTAAGAAAAACCTTGGAAAAACTTAAATATAATACGATCTTTGAAACCAAAAAATGAGTTCGGGAGTCATTTACGTGTAGGGAAAGTATTAGCACCCTACAACGTCTGTTTAAAAAACAGTTACCTAAAATTAATTGTACAAAATTATTCTAATTTTAAAAAATATTTATTTAACCCCTAAACATTAATTATTTTATTTTAGAAGAAGAAATATTATTTATTGAAATATTATTCGGGTTATTTTAAAAATTATTTTGACTTGACGGGTACGGTTCCCGCTCCTACGTATCCCCGGATGCAATGGGGAACTCAAAGCCACGTAGTTCTATCTAAATATTATGAAATTAGTTGATTATAATTAAGTTTAGTAAAAGAAAAATTTATTTTAGAATTAAAATTATTTTTCGTAAAAATTATAATGTTTAGGATACAAGATAATGCAGTTATACATGTACCCTACGAGAAAACAATACAGAAAGTGAAGGAAGATCACACAACTATACTGCAAATCATTAAGAAATATTTTATTCGTAAATGGAGTATTTGAATTTTAATTTTGATTATGATTAATATTGAAAGAAATTTAAGATAGCGTAAGCTATACATAAACTTCTTATAATTTATTAGACTATCGAAGGCAATTTAAATTACACATCGATATTATAAAATTTATAAAATGAATAAATTATAGTAATTTAATTTATCAAAATTTGAAACATGACTTAAGAAAATAAAAAAAATAATTTTATTTGAATTGATTAAAGAAGATACTCATTTAATAAAAAACATTAAAAATTTTATTTGATAGATTTATATTATATAAAACCTAAGGTAACGTTGGTACACATAAATTTTGACAATTTATAACGCATAAAGGTAGAGTCGCTACACATTAGCATTATAAATTATTTCTTAATAAAATAATTTAGATTTAAATTAGTTGATTGATTTGTAAATTAGTATTTAGAAGAGAAATACATCTTGCATTATTATTAAAGTGATTAACTAATTAATTAATGATAATATGTGATAAGTTAATATTGCATAAAGTCTTGGTAACGTAGGTACACATAGACTTTATCAATTTATAATACATGACGATAGAGAAGCTATACGTTAGTATTATAAATTGATACAATTATATTATTATTTATTAATTAATTATAAAAAAATAAGTAATTTAGTATTCACAATATAAAATAAAATAATCATAAATATAAAATTAAATCGCATTAATATGATACAAATATACAATAAATAAAATAAAAGATAACGATCCTAAAAAAGAAGATATAAATAATGAAATATAAAAAAGGAAATAATTTAAAAAAAATCAACTCAGATATGATATTGTAAAGTAAACGGTATCAAGAGATTTTAAATAAATAAAATAAAATAAAATAATTTAAACAAAGTTAACATAAAAAAAATAA